ACGTAGGGTATTTATTAGGTCAATGATCAATTAATTAGATAAATGATAACTCAGGCCACATAATAAAATCGTGTCCAACATTCTCTCACTTGGCCGAGTAATCATTTATGATGAGTATTAGATAAGTCTGATCAGATTTTAATACTCATTTTAGTTCTAAACCGAAACTGTAGCAGAGAAATACAGTCATTGAATCGAAACTCAATTCAAGACCCCCATTAATCATACTACAATACCAAATTTAAAACTTAAATAAGCTAAGGATCAAATTGACAAGTAAGCCCATAACATTATTTTGTATATAAATGTTGTCTATATGTCTTTAGGCATGCATAGACACATTCAGAGACAAAACAAACAAAACAATGAGGAAATTTTATTATTAAATGTAAGCAAGTACAATATGCAACTAAATAAGGTCTTTAGATAACCTCATCTTCGAAACATGTTCTTCGAAAATCTTAGGAGGGAGACCTTTAGTCATTTGATCCGCAAGCATATTCTTAGTACTTATATGCTCAATACAAAGTTTATTTTCCTCAACTCGCTCACGTACGAACAAGTACTTTCTGGCAAGTGCATTTTTGAAAATTTTACATTTTTTTTACTATTCCTTAATAAGCGTGCCAAGTCAACACGGGAAGAAAATTTCCGGACGGAGGGAGTATCTTTTTAATTCAACTAATGAAAATAATGCCATATTCATATATTACACTCTTTTTTGAAACTACACTACACAGAATAAATTGTACCAACACACACAAAAAAAAGGCCTCAAAATATTTGAAAAAAATTAGAATCGGGCACTACATACTAGCAATGGTAAACATGCTGCGCAATTTTGATAAGGATTTTTAATATCCCCCATCTTTCAGACTTATGAACTCTTTAATTTCCAAATTCATAATTTAAAAAAAGAGATGATGGATATCGGGTCTGGTAGACCCGACTCCAGGCCCAAATGAAGGCCCATAATGGCCCAAAAGGAATAAGATCAGATGGGATGACAGGCCAAGCCCGTTATCTCGTATTTGGCAAGTGGAAGAAGACGGCCCAAACATGAGGTAGATCAAAGCGACCCAGTCCAAAGGAGGAATGGGACACGTGGCCCATATCATCGAGTTATGGGCGAAATGGGAAGAGAACGAGACCGGAAAGAAGGGGAATCACAACCCCATGATCTCCATAATCCGTTTCCATTTTGTGTAATTTTAATTAGAATATTAGAAGTACCATAAAAGGGGGAAAACCCGCCATTGTAAAAGAGGTCACAAGAAGGCAATTCAACACTCAATCAAAGATTATTATCGAGTGATTACATTTTCCTAATTCATATTCCATTCTTGGTCCGCCATCTGATCGGGTTAATCCCATCATTGGTGCTTTCATTGAGAGCATACTGTGAGATAAGGCTGTGAGATTATGGCCGGACGAAGGACGAGACGTAACCCTGCTACTTCTGCCCAGTCGACGGTGAGGAGTGACAACCCTGAGCAAGGTATGATTGTTCCTGTCAATGGGTTGGAAACAGCGCTAAATAATGTGGCTAACATGATGGCCAACATTATGGAGCGATTGGATAAGGCTCTTCCAGTTCCATCCGGAACCCGGGATATCCCACCCGGGCAACCCCGCCAGGTCCTGCGTACTGCGAGTTCTCCTATCCTACAGGAGCTCCACGACCCGGAGGAGGTTGAAAGGGAAAGGCGAGCCATTGACAGACGCCGGGCGGAGGAATTGGCCCAGAACAACAAGGTGAACGAAGGCCAGGCTAAGGATCCAAGCCGGATCTTCGGCGATGGACACGAAAATCCGCGGGGATGTGTCTTTGAAAGGATATCTCGCCAGAAAGCTCACGTTAGTGAGAGGCTGGGGAAGAATCCGAAAAAGGCACCCCGGGGTTGGATACGACCTCAGGCTAGCCACGTGGCATCCTCCAATCGCGAACCCCGGCAGCGAAATGACCGAGGCGTGAGCCAAGTGCCGGTCCTGTCGTTGCGGAATCTGGAGGAGGACAAGGTTCAAAGCCAAGCCAGGGTCCCAGCACCACGGCGTCTGGGACCGCCGGTGCCAGAAGCTGGTGAATTTCAAGACCTGAGACAGCAGATCCAGGAGATGCAGAGGAAGATAAACAAGGGTCGAGTATTCACTACTCGAACGAATACTCCCTTGGCTCCAGAGATCTTTGCGGAACCATATCCGCAGGGGTTCAAAATGCCATTTGTCAAGCGTTATGACGGTGAATCAGACCCCCAAGAGCACATAAATAGCTATGTCCAAGTGATGATCGTCGTGGACGCCAGTGACGCACTCATGTGTCGGTGCTTCTTGCAGACCGTTGATAGCAAGGTTGCAGACTGGGTCAACCATATCCCTGCCGGATCAGTCCGAACATGGGATGAATTGGGACTACGGTTCCTAGAGCATTTTGCTGGGAACTGCCGCCCCAAAAAGCATTTCACTCACTTGGCATCAGTGCGACAGAAGCATGGAGAATCCTTAAAGAATTTCCTTATCCGATGGAGGTTGAAGGAACTGATGATAAGTCCAGGTTGGCTATGTTCACGGGGGCATTACAGGATGGGCTCCTTCACACCGATCTCACTACACATCCCCCGGATACCTTCGAAGAAGCGATGGTCCGGGCTGGGAGGTATGTGACCCTGGAAGAAAGAAAGGAGGAGAAGAAAGAGAAGACTCCTAAAGAAGAAGAGAAGTCGGGAACTAAGAAGCCGTTTAAGAATAAAAAGCAGGGCTTCCCGGATGGCCCAAAGGGCGCAAGTCCTGGGACCTCGGAGAATCATAAATCTGCCAATCCAGTCTTTACACTGCCAGTGGCTGAGGTCATGGCCCATGCAGCACAGCAGGGGCTCATGACTTACCCAACTTATTCTCAGAAGGTTTGCAATGTGGAAGACTCTGGAAAATGGTGTGCTTACCATCGCAAAAATGATCACAACACAGAAGATTGTTATACTCTGAAGAATGAGATGGCAAGGCTGATCCGTCGGGGTCATCTGAAGAAGTTTGTACAAGATGGTGACGCCGGGAATCCCGGGAATGCTCAGAATGGAAAACGCAGAGATAAAGAAGTAGCCCAGGCTGAGGCCCGGGAGAAACACCACATTGGGCTTGAAGATGAAGATGAGGATTCGGAACCCGCACCGCATCGCCAGAAGAGACACCACGGGTGTAACTTCATCATTGGAGGAAACACTGGCGGAGATTCAGCCCCGAGCCGGAAGAAATGGGCTAACGCGGCAATGGTCAACAAGGTGCTGGTCCCGGAAGGTAAGAAGTTGAAAACCGAGCCTATTGTGTTTTCTAATGCTGATCTTCCAGAGACAGGGGTCCCTCATAGGGACGCCCTGGTAATTACTATCGATATAATGGACTTACTAATCCACAAAACCCTTGTGGATACGGGAAGCTCCATTAATATCATGTATATGGACACATACAAGGCTCTCGGTTTCACAAGAGATGAATTATCACCCATCAAGACTCCACTAACCGGGTTCACTGGTGACTCTATTGAACCGGAGGGGGTAATAACCCTCCCGGTTGAGATAGGCGATACTAAGGCAACTCGGAAGCTAGACATGGAGTTTGTCGTGGTGGGGATAATCTCCAGCATAAATATTATCCTGGGCAGACCCGGATTGGAAGATTTGGAGTGTGTCATTTCACCTCGTCACCTGTGCATAAAATTCCCAACCCCTCATGGAATTGGAATCGCCAGGGGATCGCAGAGGGTATCCCGGGCATGGTATTTGAAGGCAACCAAACAGCCGGTCAAGTACGATACCCAAGTGGGAGAGGTGACTGCACAGCTCCTGAGGGCTGAGGAAAAACGTCCCAGAGTAGAAGTTGCCGGCGACATTGAGGAGGTGGAACTGGAGCCATGCACGCCGGGAAGGTTTGTCAGGATTGGTAAGGGCCTGGGGGCTGAACTCAGGTCACGGGTGATTTCAGTCCTCAGGAGGTTCAGAAGGGTCTTTGCATGGAGTCCAGCTGATATGCCAGGGCTGGATCACAAGATTGCTGTTCATCGCCTAAATATTCTGCCGGATGCCAAACCGGTGAAGCAGAAACGAAGGCATTTGTCGCAGGAAAGAAGAGATTTCGTAAAGAAGGAAGTAGCAACCGTGCAGAGCATTGGGCATATCCGGGAGGTACAATACCCGGATTGGTTGGCGAATGTAGTCCTAGCACCCAAGCCACCTTCATGGAGGATGTGCGTCGACTACACAGATCTGAACAAGGCATGCCCCATGGATCCGTTTCCACTCCCCAACATTGATCAGATGGTCGATGAAACTGCCGGGTCGGAGTTAATGAGCTTCATGGACGCTTTCAGCGGATATCATCAGATCCGGATGCATCCGGCTGACGCTGAGAAGACAAGCTTTATGACCCCAGAGGGGCTGTACTGTTACCTAGTGATGGCTTTTGGACTGAGAAATTCCGGGGCAACATATACTCGGATGGTTTCTCAGGTGTTCAAGACTGTCCTAGGGCGGACCATGGAGGCGTATGTCGATGATATGATCGTCAAGTCCAAAGAGGCCCGAGACCATGTCCGGGACCTTGAGGAGGTCTTTGAAATCATGATGAAGGTGAATCTGAGATTAAACCCGAAGAAATGCACTTTTGCTGTTCAAGGTGGGAAATTCCTTGGGCACATGGTAAGCCGGAAAGGGATCGAGGCGAGCCCGGAGAAAGTTAGAGCCATCATGGAGATGGAACCTCCGAAGACAGCCAAGGAGGTTCAGCGGCTAACAGGAAGATTGGCGGCCTTAAATCGTTTCCTTTCGAAGCTGGCAGAGAAGGCGCACCCATTCTTCGCGGTGATCAAGAAGAAGGCGACCTTTGAATGGACACCGGAATGTCAAGAAGCATTTGAAGAATTAAAGAGATATCTCACAAGTCCGCCAGTTTTATCCAAGCCGGAACCTGGGGATATTCTGACTCTATATTTGGCGATTGCGGACTGTGCCATAAGTACTGTGATCGTGAGAGAAGAGCATGGGGCCCAACATCCGGTCTACTACGTCAGCAAGACCCTGAGAGATGCAGAGTTAAGGTATTCTCGTCCGGAGAAGGCCATGTTGGCGGTCTTCTGGACGGCGAAGAGATTGACCCCGTACTTTCAGGCTCACCGAATTATTGTTCTCACCAATGAGCCATTGGCGTTGCTTAGCCGGAGCCCGGCAGCATCGGCCCGGATGACCAAGTGGGTGGTCTTTATCAGTCAGTACAGCGTGGAATTCAAGCCGCGCCCATCAATCAAGGGGCAAGCACTCGCCGATTTTCAAGTCGAGTGCACCGCTAGGGAAATGACAAGAGCCCAGGATGAAACCCGGATGGAGAAAGACTGGTGGATAATGAGCATCGACGGATCTTCTGGGTCTCGATCTTGCGGAGCAGGTGTCGTCTTGATCACCCCAGAACAATTCCGGATTTATTACGCTATCAGATTTCAGTTCCGCGTATCCAATAATGAAGCTGAGTATGAGGCCCTGATCAATGGTTTGAAGATTCTTAGTAAGATGGGAGTATCCAGGGTTCAAGTCTACAGCGACTCTTGACTGGTGGTGGGACAAATCACAGGGGAGTTTGAAGCAAAGGAAGAGAGGATGAAGAAGTACCGGGACTTGTCTCTAGAGATGTTGGGAAGGTTTGAGTTTAAGCTTGAACATATACCCCGGGCCCAGAACGCAGAGGCCGATGTTCTATCCAAGCTCAGCGCAGAATCACCGGAATACATAAGCAGATTAGCAACTATCGAAGAGCTGGTAACCCCGAGTCTTAACAGCAGCGAAGTGCTCTGGGTATCAGCTGATCCCCCGGAATGGCTGGACCAATTGGCAAAAATATATTGAGGACGGTGAAGCCCCAAAGGATCCCCAGGAAGCGCGTCTATTGCGAATGAGGGCACCTACCTACAAGGTGCAGGATGGAATCCTCTATAAGCGATCCTACAACAGTGTCTTGCTCCGTTGCCTCAGGGCAACAGAGGCGAAGGCATTGATGGAAGAAATACATAAAGGGGTATGTGCTGCACATCAGGGTCCATACTCCATTTCCAGAAGGACTATTATCCAGGGGTATTTCTGGCCAACGATGAGGAAGGATTGTGAAGAATATGTGCGCAAGTGTCCGAACTGCCAACAGTTCCAGAATATACCCGGGAGGCCAGCCACAAACTACACACCCATCAGCTCTGTGATTCCCTTTTCAAGATGGGGAATCGATATTGTGGGAGCCCTGCCAAAAGGAGCGGGGCAGGCAAGGTCGATTGTGGTCGCGATAGATTATTTCACAAAGTGGGTAGAGTCTGAGCCACTTGCGGGGATCACCGGAAGGCAGATGATTGACTTCGTTGGAACCAATATACTCTGCAGGTTTGGGGTCCCGAAGCAGATCATATCAGATAATGGAACCCAGTTTGAGGAAGCAGAATTTCAAGACTTCCTCAAAACTTGGGGAATTCAGCACACGAAGGTGTCTGTTGCGTATCCTCAAGCTAATGGACAGGTGGAGAATGTCAACAGAACAATCATAGACGGAATAAAGAAGAAGCTACTTTCAGAAGGAACCAAATGGGTAGATGAACTACCCAGAATCCTGTGGACATATAGGACGACTCCAAGGAGAGCCACGGGTGACACTCCTTTTGGTTTGGCTTATGGTTTTGAAGCCCGGGCTCCCGCCGAAGTAGTAATCCCCACCAGGAGAGAAACGGAATATGACCCGGAGGTGAATGAACAGAATCAGGCCGTAGAGCTGAATTTCGTAGAAGAACGAAGGGATGAAGCACGCATCCGGGCAGAAAATTATCGTCGCCAGGTGAAATCTTACTTTGATAGCAAGGTGAAACCAAGGGCATTCCAGGTGGGGGATTATGTTCTGAGGAAACGAGAGAAGAGTCAACCAACTAAAGGTGGGAAGCTGGCAAAGAAGTATGAAGGACCTTATATCATCAAGGCCGTAGTTTGCCCAGGTACCTACAAGTTGGTGACTCTCAAGGGGAAAGAAATTGATAAGACATGAATGTAGAGCACTTGGTCAAATTTTATCAGTAAATCATTTTGTAAAAATACTTTAATTTCAAATGTTTGTTTCATTCAACTTCTTCTATAGTCAAGTGCCTTTGCAATTTCATTGTTCTATGGATTTTTAAAAAAAAGGGGGGGGGGGGGGGGGAAGCACCCCCGGGCAATATAGACCCGCGTTACAGGGAGGTAGAAAAGTTTATGCCACCTGCTAAAAATAGGGGAGGTAGATAAGTTTATGCCCCCCGGAGGTAGAGAAGTTTATGCCTCCGTCAAAATTGAAGGAAGGGTTGGGATTGGACTTCGAGGGCCACTACAACCCGGAATTCAGGAAGAATAGCAAGCAGACTTCGAGGGCTGAAGCTTAGTATTCCACTAGCATAGATCAACCGAGCAAACAAACTTCGAGGGTTGGAGCTCAACTGATCCAAGGTAGATAAGATTATGCCTTAACTCGGAGGAAGGGAAGGCCAGGGGCAGATATGATAAGTGCCCTAGGTATTCCCAAACCCCGGGAAGATGAGATTTATCATAGAGAATGAATTATGTACTTGCATTTAAAGAGGTGCAAAGAAATGATCATTAAGGACCATGTTGATGGGCCAAGGTTTACATTTTTTGGTTCACAGTAAAGGTTCCTAGTGAAATAAACAAGAAAAGAAACTAAGGAAATTATCGATTGCTAATTCGGAAGGTATGTCTTTGAATTAAAATGATGATTCCTATTTCAAAATTAAGGAACATTCATTAGTTCGGGGAAAACCTCTGGACCGAGCGAGTGAATGCCCCTTGGTACAAAACAAGGAAAAGAAATTTGGTTTGCAGGAGGCTAGGAACTGAAGGAGGACCTATTGCATCCATGCAGTCAACAAGATGGAGGTGGGGGACCCTTCCATGGGCTCTTTCTCCTCGACAAGGGACACGTTGATGAATCAGTGGTTTCCCATATGTCATAATCTTCCCATGTCCCAGGACGAGGGGCTGCTTCCTTCAAAGAAGAACCGCTATTGCGGGGCTTCAGCAGGTTTGGAGAAGCAGTCCAGCTCTCACATGAAGGTTCCGCTTCAACAGTTAGCAAAGAACGTCCAAGCTTAGTCCTGCACATCCTCTGGTACAAGGCGAAGTCCTGAAGAGTCATGGAGTCCCAGTCTATCTCCCCGGAGGGAAGCCTAGGTGGACTGGGAGGAGATGGTGCAGGAAGGCGGGTCGCCGGATAAAGCCTCGAGAACTCGCCGGGACTCAACCTGGCCATGTCGTTCGACTGGGCTGGGGAGATGGGGAGGTCACCATCCGAAGAAGAAGACGTCCCAGAGAGGGTTAAGTCGATGATGACTTTGCCCTCAGACTTGCTTGCCATGGTGAAGAAGTCAGAAAGTGATGGACGGGCCGCTAATTGCCCTTTCCCATTTAATAGTCAAAGGGGAAGGGATAGTTGGGAATTGATGAATGCAATTAAAAGGCGTGAAAGACTAAACGATTGGTGAAGGGAGCGAACGAAGCTTTCCCAAAAGTTTGACTAAGAGTTTCTCGCCACTAAAGTGCTTGGGCTAGTTAATTGGGCCCATTTGCGCTTTGGAAAAGACGTTATCCTTGGAAGGTAAGGAGTTAAATAGACTTAGACTTCTACTCCATGCAGATGACGGCACGTGCAACAAGATAATATTAAATGACAGGAGATAAAGGCTCTTTCCATTAAATAGCTCAAACAGAAGATTACGTTCTTTTGGGTTACAGTAATGGGCCTTATCCCTGATCTAACTATGAAATAAAAAAGAGACAGGAGATAAAGATTTTCATTGAATAACTCAAACAGAAAAATTACATTCTTTTGGGTTACAGTAATGAACTTTGTCCCTGATCTACTTCTATCCTACTGCGAAAGAAAAATTGAAAGCAAGGCGGATCGACACTTCTGGAATCTAAAGGAGTGAATTCGCTGACCCTTGCTTCCCTGCCTGAACCAGAAAGAGTACCTCAAGGCAGGAAGGCATGGAGAGTGTCCGCCGAAGACACTTCATGAAATTCACAAGAACTAGAATGGTATCAACGGGTTGGGACCTAAAGCCATCCCCGTGGATACCATCCGGTCATTCCTGTGAGGGCGCCCACTGGTCTCCCTTGATGACATTCAAAAGATACGGAGAGGAACCGACGGGTTGGGATTGAAAGGCATTCCCCCCGTTGGCACCTTCCAATCGCCTCTCTGAAGTCAGACCAGGAGGACGAATGGGCATGAAGGAAGGATCCAAGGCCTATCTCCACTTATACGGCAGGAGGAGGCGGGTCCCGGAAGGATCCGTCCTTTTCCCTGCGTATAAATGGAAGCCTATTTCCTCCCATGTCGTAGTCCCCCCATTCCTCAGGTGGCTGTCCATGCAACTGCTGAGGGGAAGGGGAACCCTGAGAAGAAGGTCTCGCACCGCACCGGAGACTAGCCGGGAAGCTCCTGAGTGGGGATTGCGTCTCTTCTGTGGACGAGAAGTGCCAGGACAACCAGAAGAGACTTCCGCCCTGGCACTGTTAGAAAGCACGCCGGGACCCGGAGGAACACTCCCTGAAATCTGTGGGGGGTGATGAGGGTTGTTCTCTTCTCTGGGCAAGGGAGAATTTACCGATTGTTCAGAGGCAAGAGAAGGCCCAGAAGAGAGCTCAGGTGTTGGGGACCCAAGTGAAGGGAATGCCAACGAAGAAGAATCAGAAGAAGAATCAGAAATAGTAAGATCAATGAAGACAACTCTATTGGCGTTATTAGCCATGTTGAGAGATTGATTGTGGTATGGAAAGGGCTTAGCCCAGCCCCTTAAATAGGTGAGTAATCCCAAAGGGGAAGGGCAAAGGACGCGGAGTCAAAGCGCTTATCCGATTGGGAGGCAGTTGCGGATTCCCGAGGAGAGCTAGGGTTCCACTATCTTATCATTGGGCTAAGGTGAGTTGGGCCCGACATAATTAAAGTGGGCCAGCCACTTAGCGCGATGGTAAATAAAAGGAACAATGCGTTGGGAACGCGGTTAAGCCCAAAGCCTAGGCGGGTAAAAAAAAATCTGCTAAGTCCTAGGGCAAAACAAGAATACCAAAAGGAGAACAGACAGATTACTAAAGGAGTCTACATGGACAAAAATACATCGGATGTCCATAATCCAAATAATTACAAGGCAAAACATAACAGTCAATGGAGGAAGATGAAGTCAAGGTCCTGGGTCTGCACGAGAAGCTGGGGGAGAAAGAGGGAGAGGTAACCCATAGTAGGAGATGAAGTCATCCAAAGTGCGGTTCTCTGGGAGACCACTCTGGACTGCCCCGTAGATGCATTGCTGCATGTCAAATTGTCCCTCTTCGTAGAGGGCTTTGGCACGGGCAATCAGGGTGGCCACCTCCTCTTGATGAGCAGCGATCGTCTTCTCTTGTCCATCCACCTTTGCCCGGAGCTCACTTGCGGCCTGCCTCTCTCCCTTCAACTTCTCGAGGTCAAGCCGTCTCGCCTCCATGTGCTTCAGAGCAAGCTCGTTAAGGCGTGAACCCTCATACTTGGCCTCTTGGAGGGAATTCTCTAGCTCAGAGATTCGGGATTCCGTCTCAACCAGCTCAGCTTTCAAACTTCCTACCTGGTCTTCTGAAGCCGAGACCCTTGATTCTAGGAGGGAGATTTGTGCCCGGAATCTACCAAACTGCACTTCCAGATCTTGGGTCTCCGTGTGGTAATTAGCAATCTGATCTTGCAGGGACTGGACCTTGGATCTCTCAGCTGCAAGCTCCGTGGAGCCATCTGCTTGGAGCCGAGCATTCTCCCCTTGCAGGATCTGGACTTGTTGCTCCAGGGAGTCAACTTTCTGTTGCAAGGCCCTGGCAGCTAGTTCCCTTTCCCTCAGAAGCATTACAGCCCGGAAGTTCCCTGATGCTCCACCCAAGTACTCCTCAGTCAAAGTAAGGAGCGATTGCTGGGCCTAAAAGAAGGAAAGGGAAATCAAGGAAAAGAACTAACCCAGAAAGAGGTAAAGAGATTGTTGAAAAGGAAGGGTACCTGTTCCATGAGGTGCAGGGCATTGAGGGCAAGCAGATCAGGGCGAGCTTGGGGAAGTATGGGTTCCTGCACTAATCCCTGCATCCTTTCTATATTCCCCTGGATAGTCCAATGGGAAGCTTGCAAGGACCTCAAACCGCGGGAGAAGCCTTCCCAACCCTCTGCGAAAGCGGAATAAGTCCGTGGCGTGAACTTGCGCCGGATGGGGAGATTGACAGCCGGGGGAGCAGTAGCGGGATGTCGTTCTTCCGGCTCTCGCTGCTCCTCCTGAGTCTGTTGCGCCTCAGTCCCTTTCCTCACTTCTGGGAAGTTTCAGCATCTTTCTGCTCTCCAGCCTCATTCTCCTCCGGGTGGGAGACTTTCGTTTCTAACTGCACTTCAACTTCCCTCTCTGCTGTAGGGGAGGGCTCCGGTTCCTTCTGCCTCATCCCTTCTTCCTCCATGGCTTGGGGACTGGTTGTGGCGCGTGGCGAGGAACCGGACACTTCAGTCTGGGGCTGCGTTGTGGGTTTTCTAAGCGCAGACTGGTCTCTAGGCTCTTCTTCCTCACAATCAAGTCTATCCGGGTGGGATAACTCCAAGACCCCGGATGTAGCAGCAGGGGTGGTATTCGGAGTACCAGAAGAGTTGGACAGGGGGCTGGGTGAAACAGAAGTACCGTCACCCTTGTTCTTTTTGGGAAGGAAATCATCGTCGGAGAGACCTTTCCGTGGCCGTTTCTGGGACAGAGTGGGCCTCCTAAGCCCAGGAATGGCAGAGATAGGAACGACATTCAGAGCAGCATCTGGATTGCGCACAACTAAGGTAGTGGAACCACCTTGGGGCCGATCTCCAGAAGAGCTTGCAGCTGGGTTGGACTCTGCAGCAGAAGGAGCTTTCGATCTCTCGGGGGAGGGTACCTCCTCAAAGGGAATCGGGTCAGGACCCAGGGGGTAATAGAAACCTGCCTTTTTGTACAGTTTAGCCTCTTGGAGAGAGTGGTGGGAAATTAGACCCTCCTTCTCCCTCACAGCATTATACGCGCCCTCCGCCAAGTTTGCCGGGGTGAATTTCGTTCAGGAGATGGAACGGCGGAGGACAACACCCGGCAGATCGATGGGGCTGTGAGCCGGGAATTCAATGACGAAGTATTTAAGCGCCCATTTGTCGATCTTGAGCTCGACCTTCTCGAAAATGGGAAAATGATTGTGGGGGTATAGACTGTAAAAGGGGAAACCACCGATACTGAAGAGGAGAAGAAATTCGTCCAATTTCGGGGTTTTGTCCAGGGCACAACACCGTAAGATGAAGGACGCGACATACTTGTGCGCGTTGGCAGTCAATTGACCCGGAGCAAATCCAAAATGGAGGCAGAGGTCGCGGAGCAGGCCGTGGAGGGGCAACCTAAATCCATTCTCCACAGAGTGGTATTGCATGACCATATATTTCTGGGGATTTGGATTGTAGGTTAAACTAATCCCCCCAACGGCATCGGGATGGTGGACCCGGAAGCCCTTGCCCAAAAGCACGGCCATCTCCCGAAGTTCGTTCTCCTTGATAACGGAGGGTCCATGGGTCCAGGTTTCAGGATTCGTAGGGGCCATTCCGGAGAAGGAGACGAGAATTTTGGGGAAATTGCAGTCGGAATTCGGGTCGGGTTAAGATTCAGTGGCGAGAGGAAGAAGATGAGTCCAGAAGAGGGTTTTTATCCGTTGAAAGGTGGACCCGAGGTACTCGAGTGCGACGTTTCTAATCCGACACGAAGATCGAAGGCGGCTCATCATTAGTTTTCTAGCGACACGTCGCCAAAAAACTAGGGGGCTTGTGATGGATATCGGGTCTGGTAGACCCGACTCCAGGCCCAAATGAAGGCCCATAATGGCCCAAAAGGAATAAGATCAGATGGGATGACGGGCCAAGCCCGTTATCTTGTATTTGGCAAGTGGAAGAAGACGGCCCAAACACGAGGTAGATCAAAGCGACCCAGTCCAAAGGAGGAATGGGACACGTGGCCCATATCATCGAGTTATGGGCGAAATGGGAAGAGAACGAGACCGGAAAGAAGGGAAATCACAACCCCATGATCTCCATAATCTGTTTCCATTTTGTGTAATTTTAATTAGAATATTAGAAGTACCATAAAAGGGGGAAAACCCGCCATTGTAAAAGAGGTCACAAGAAGGCAATTCAATACTCAATCAAAGATTATTATCGAGTGATTACATTTTCCTAATTCATATTCCGTTCTTGGTCCGCCATCTGATCGGGTTAATCCCATCAAGAGATGATCGGTCTAGGGTAACAGGGAGATGGTGACGACGGCAGCAGGAAGAACGGCAGACTTTATTCAGGAAAAGATTGACAACAGCCGTAGAAATGACTCCAAAATTCAGGTGCGTGTATATGCCCTTTTTTCATATTTGGTTATTAGATGTGCATTCAAACCATTTAATGATGAATCATGAATGGACATTGCATCTAGACCAGTTCATGCGTAAGTTAGAGAAGTTGAATTAATGCCTTAGGAGCCTCCAAGGCTTGTGATTTTAGAGATCTGTAGAAATTCGTGTTGGTATTATTTTGCAATTTGGGGAGGTAGTGATTTAGGGTTACGAAAAGCAAGAATTTTTTGGGTATTAGAAATAATATGATGCTCATCTCTGTGTTGGAGATTGGAAGTTATGAAATCAAAATACATTTGGCCTAGTATTACATTAGCGTTTGGGTCTAACACTTGCTGATTCGTATTAAAAAAGAAAAGAAATTGAAGGAATTCATCGATTGCTGATTCGTAGGTTGTATCTTCGAATTACAACGATAATTCCTAGTCTGGGGACATTCCTTAGTTTGGGACGCAGGGAAAACTCCTGGACCAAACAAGTGAATCCCTCTTGAAATAAAACAAGGAAAAGAAATTCAATTTGCAGGGGGCTAGGCACTGAAGGAGGGCCTATTGCATCCATGCAGTCAACAAGAAGGAGGTGGGGGGCCCTTCCATGGGCTCCTTCTCTTTGACGAGGAGCATGCGACAGAGTCAGCAGCTTCCTCTATCTCATAGTCTTCCCACGTCCCAGTACGGGGAGCTGGTGTTCCCAATGAAGAACCATCATTGAGAGACTTCAACAGGTTTGGAGAAGTAGTCCGGCTTTCACGTGAAGGTTCCGCCTCGACAATCGGCAGAGAACGCTCAAGTTTAGCCCTGCGCATCCTCTGGTATAAGGCGAAGTCTTGGAGGGTCATAGAGTCCCAGTCTATCCTCTCGGATGGAAGCCTGGGTGGACTAGGAGAAGATGGTGCGGGAAGACGAGGTGCTGGATAAAGTCTTGAGAACTCGCCAGGACTCAACCTAGCCATGTTGTTGGATTGAGCCGGGGAGGTGGAGAAATCATCATCTGAGGAAGATGTCCCGGAAAGGGTTAAGTTGATGACGACTTTACTCTGAGATTTACTTGCCATGGCGAAGAAATCAGAAAGGGATGAACTAGCAACAAACCATCCTTTCCCATTTATAGTGAAAGGGGAAGGGATAGTTGGGAAATGATGAATGCGGTTAAAAGACGTGAAAGACGAAGCGATTGGTGAATGAAGCGGTCGAAGATTCCCAATGTTTGACGAGGGGTTTTCGCCACTGAAGTGCATGGCCCAGTTAATTGGGCCCATCTGCGTTTTGGGAAAGATGTCATCCGTGGAAGGTAAGGAGTTAAATGAATATAAACTTCTACTTCATGCAGATGGCGGCACATACAACACAGTTATATTAAACGATAGGCGATAAAGATTTTCATTAAATAACTCAAACAGAAGATTACATTCTTTTGGTTTACAGTAATGAACTTTGTCCCTGATCTACTTCTATCCTACTACTGGAAAAATCTGAAGTCAAGGCGAGTCGGCACCTCAGAAATCTGAGGGGAGGGCATTCGCTAACCCTTGCTGCCATGCCTGAGCCAGAAAAGGACCCCAGAGCGGGGGGTGTGGAGAGAGCCCACCGTTCTCTCTTGATGACATTCAAAAGATGCGAAAGGGTACCAACGGGTTGGGATTGAAAGGCATCCCTCTCGTGGGCACCATCCAGTCACTCCCTTGAAGTCGGACCCGGAGGACGATAGGGCATGGGGGAAGAACTCAAGGCCTATCTCCGCTTATACAGCAGGAGGAGGCGGATCTCGGAAGGTTCCGTCCTTTTCTCTGCGTATAAATGGAAGCCTATTTCCCCCATGTCATAGTCCCCCCACTCCTCAGGTGGCTGTCCATATGACTGCTGAGGGGAGGGGGAACCCTGGGGGGAAGGCCTCGCATCAGAGACCAACCGGGAAGCTCTTGAGTGGGGATTGCGTCTCTTCTGCAGACGAGACGTGCCAGGACAGCCAGAAGAGACTTCCGTCCTGGCACCGTTAGGAAGCACGCCGGGACCCGGAGGAACACCTCCTGATACCTGTGGGGGGATACCTGTGGGGGGAGATGAGGGTTATTCTCCCCCCTAGGCAAGGGAGAAGTCACCGATTGTTTAAAGGCAAGAGAAGGACCAGAAGAGAGCTCAGGCGTTGGGGCCCCAAGTGAAGGGAATGCCAACGAAGAAGAATCAAAAGAAGAATCGGAAATAGTAAGATCAATAAAGACAACTCTGTTGGCGTTATTAGCCATGTTGAGGATTTGATTGTGATGGTGAAGGGGTTCAGCCTAGTCCCTTAAATAGGCAAATAATCCCAAAGGAGAAGTGCAAGGGACGCGGAGTCAAAGCGCTTATCCGATTGGGAAGCAGTTGCGGATTCCCGAGGAACGCTAGGGTTGCACCATCTTATTATTGGGCTAGGGTGAATTGGGCCCGGCGTAATTAAGGTGGGCCAGTCACTTAGCACAATGATAAACAAGAAAAACAGCACTTTGTGAGCGCAGTTAAGCCCAAAGCCTAGGCGGATAAAAAAAACTGCTAAGTCCTAGGGCGAGATAAGAATCCCAAAAGAAGAACAGTTAGCTTAATGAAAGGAGTCGACGGAAATAAATCAAGTGTTATCAATTTGCTACCATCTAAATGTTACAAAGCAAAATACAACAGTCAGTGGAGAGGGATAAAGTCAAGGCCCCGAGTCAGCACGAGAATCTGGGGGAGAAAAAGGGAGAGGTAATCCGTAGTGGGAGATGAAATCATCCAGAGATCGGTGAGCTGGAAGACCACTCCGGACCGCCTCATAAATGCAGTGCTGCATGTCAAATTTCCCTTCTTCATAAAGGGCTTCAGCACGGGCAGTCAAGCCAGCAACCTCCTCTTGATGGGCAGCAATAGCCTTCTCCAGTTCACCCATCCTTGACCGGAGCTCGCTGGCAGTCTGTCTCTCTTTCCCCAACTTCTCGAGGGTAAGCCGTCTCGCCTCCATGTGCTTCAATGCAAGTTCGTTAAGACGGGAACCCTCATACTTTGCCTCTTGGAGGGAACTCTCCAGCTCAGAGATCCGGGATTCCCTTTCAACCAACTCGGCTTTCAGACTTCCCACCTTGTCTTCTGAAGCTGAGGCCTTTGACTCCAATATGGAGAGTTGTGCCCGGAGTCTGTCAAACTGCATTTCCAGATCTTGAGTCCCCCTTTGGTAAGCAGCAATTTGCTCCGGGACTTGACTCTGGACCTTTCAGCTGCTAGTTCCATAGAGCCATTTTCCTTGAGCCGGGCATTTTCATCCTGAAGGACCTGGTCATGTTGTTCCAGGGTGTCAACTTTCTGCTGCAGAGCCCTGGCGGCCAACTCCTTCTCCTTGAGGAGCACCACGGCCCGGTAGTTCCCTGATGCTCCACCCAAGTACTCTTCAGTTAGAGTGAGGAGTGATTGTTGGGCCTGAGAGGGGAAGGGAAGTTAAGGAAGGGTTAACTGAAAGGAGATAAAGAGATTTTTGAAAAGGAAGAGTACCTGCTCCATGAAGTGCAGAGCATTGAGGGCAAGCAAGTCAGGGCGAGCTTGGAGAATTGCAGGCTCCTGCACTGATTCCCTCATCTTTTCTAGATTCGCCTGCAGTGGGAAGCCTGTAAGGATTTCAAACCACGGGAGAAGCCTGCCCAACCCTCTGTAAAGGCAGGGTAGGTTTGCGGCGTGAACTTGCGCCGGATGGGGAGATTGAGGGCTGGGGCTGTTACAGTGGAACGCGGTACTTCTGGTTCCTGTTTTTTCTCAATTTCTCTCCCCGTCTCTGGAGAAGCTTCAGCACCTTTTTGCTTTCCAGCTTCTTTCTCCAACAGGGAGGAGGCGTCCAATTCTTTCTGCACTTCAACCTCTTTCTCTGCTGTAGGAGAAAACTCCGGTTCTTTCTGCCCCACACCTTCTTCCTCCATTACTTGGGGAGCAGTTGCGACATGTGGGGAGGAATTGATCACCTCAGGCTGAGGCTGCATTGCAGGTCTCTTGAGCGCAAACTGGTCCCGAAGCTCTTCTCCCTCACAATCTAAGCTATCCGGGTGGGGTAGCTCCAAACCCCCGGATGTGGCAGTAGGGATGGTGTGCTGGGTACCGGAAGAAGTAGATAGGAGGCTGGGCGAGGCAGAGTACCAACACCCTTACTCTTCTTGGGAAGGAAGTCATCATCTGTGACCCCTTCTCGTGGCCGTTTCTGGGACGGAGTGGGCCTCCTCAGCCCGGGAATAGCAGAGATGGGGACAGCCTCCAGGGCAGCAGCCGGCTTACATACAGCCAAGGCAGTGGAGCCACCTTGGGACTGATTCCCAGAAGGGCTCATGGCTGGGTTGGATTTTCCGGAAGAAGGAGCCTTCGATCTTTCACGGGAAGGCTCCCTTTCAAATGGAACCGGGTCAGGACCCAGGGGATAGTAAAAATCCGCTTTCCTGTACAACTTAGTGTCTTGAAGAGAGTGGTATGGAATTAAACCCTGTTCGTCTCTCAAGGCGTTGTACACTTCTTCCGCCAAGTCTGCCGCAGCGAACTTCGTCCGGGAGATAGAACTGCAAAGGACAACACCTGGCAGATCTATGGGACTGTGAGCCGGGAACTCAATGACGAAGTATCGCTGGGACCATTTTTCGTTCTAAAACTCAACCCTCTCAAAAATTGGGGCATGGGAATGGGGGTACAAGCTGTAAAAAGGAAAGGACCCACCGATACTGAAGAGGATAAGGAATTCGTCCAATGTTGGGGTTCTGTCCAGGGCACAGCATCGCAAGATGTAGGAGGCGACATACTTGTGCGCATTGGCAGTCAACTGACCAGGAGCGAATCCGAAATGACGGCAGAGGTCGCGGAGCAGACCATGGAGGGGTAGTCTGAACCCGTTCTCTACAGAGTGATATTGCATGACCATATACTTCTGGGGGTTATGATTGTAGGATAAACTAATCGCCCCGACGACATCGAGATGGTGGACCCGGAAGCCCTTGCCCAGAAGCACGGCCACTTCTCGAAGATCGTCCTTCTTGATGATAGAGGGTTCATGGGTCCAGGTTTCGGGATTTGCAAGAGCCATTTCGAAGAAGGGAGTGAAAATTTGGGGGAAAATTGCAGTCGGAATTCGGGTCGGGTTAAGATTCGGTAGCGAGAGGAAGAAGACGAGTCCAGAAGGGGTTATATCCGTTGAAAGGATGGACCCAAGGCACTCGAGTGCGACGTTTCTAATCCGACACGAAAACCGAAGGCGACTCATCATTAGTTTTCTAGCGACACGTCGCCAGAAAACTAGGGGGCTTGTGATGGATATCGGGTCTGGTAGACCCGACTCCAGGCTCAATAAAGGCCCATAAGGGTAAGAGATGTATAAGGCCAGGTGGAAGTAACGGGTCGAGCCCGTTACTACGGATGTGGCAATGGAAAGAGACGGCCCAATCATTGTTAAATCAAGATGACCCAGTCCAGGGAAGGAATGGGACACGTGGCCCACATCATCGAGTGGTGGACGAGATGGGAAGAGAGCGAGACCGGAAAAGAGGGAATCACAACCCCATGATCTCCATAATCCCTTCCATTTTGTATAATTTTAATTATAATATTAGAAGTACTATAAAAGGGGTAGAACCCGCCATTGTAAAGGGGAGAGAGGAATTACATTTTTTAATCAAAGAATACTACGAGATTATATCTTTCTGATCCATATTACGTTCTTGGTCCATCATCTGATCGGGTTAATCCCATCAACAACAATAATGCATAATATGAATTTTTCAGTGCAAATTATCAGATTCGTATAACATTACCTTTAACATTGCTGAACATGGCGATTAAGGTTATTGTGTTTGGGGTTTTGTGTTTGAAGAACGATATACATCAAACTTATTTTCAAATTACTTATGCTATGTTTTTCCTTGTTTGTGTTACTTTTGTATTTGTGTACGTTTGAAACACACAAAAAATGAAGATGAGTGAAGGTGCAAGGGTGCATTCCAGTCCTTCCTTCATACCTTTATCGCATTAATAATGATTTTTTCAAAAAAAAAAATGAAGGTGTAATTTTGACCAATTGCAGGGACTGAGAACAATCTGAGATGGATAATGGTGTAATGGTGGTGCATATTACTTCATAGGGATTGCAGCGTATGTATCAATCTGTGCATGCATGATAAATTCTCAAAATTCAAATTACACTATAAATACTTAAACCCATCTAATAACACAGAAAGCTAGAGTGTACCACCTAATAAAAATGTAGTTACAACATAAAATATTGAGTAAGTAGCAAAAATTGAAAACCTAAAATACCGCCCTACACACATTCAAGAAGTCCATTCTTATAGCCCAAACTGATCTTGGAATATCACTCCACACTTCACACTGCGAAGAACTGATCTTGCGCCTTGGTGTAAATGTAGCCCTACCACAACTAGGGGATGGCACGGGCTGGATCGTGCCGATTTTCATAGGACCCGGTCCGACTTATTTTTAGAATAAACAGGTCGAGACGGGTAGGGTTGTTGAAAAATATTTNATTGAGTAAGTAGCAAAAATTGAAAACCTAAAATACCGCCCTACACACATTCAAGAAGTCCATTCTTATAGCCCAAACTGATCTTGGAATATCACTCCACACTTCACACTGCGAAGAACTGATCTTGCGCCTTGGTGTAAATGTAGCCCTACCACAACTAGGGGATGGCACGGGCTGGATCGTGCCGATTTTCATAGGATCCGGTCCGACTTATTTTTAGAATAAACAGGTCGAGACGGGTAGGGTTGTTGAAAAAATATTTGGAGTAAACCCTAGTCTGGTTTGTTTCAAACGGTTCAGTTATGCGGGTCCGCAGGCTGTACGTTTTTTTATTAAATTAAAATTTTAAAATACATCCCAAATAAATAAATAACGTATATGAGATTAGTCAATACAATAATAAACTCTTAGGATGCATGATACTTATAAACAAAAAATAAATTATATTGTTCAATCATAAGAAAAAATTCAATTAAAGACTAAAATATTACTAATTATGTTATACATATTTTTTATTAATAAAATATTGAATATACCATATTGAAATTGTTTACTACTCCCTCCGTCCCAGGGTATTTGTCCACTTTTATTTTTACACACCATCCAATACACATCTTTAATCCATTTTATCTTGTAATTTGTATATTAAAAAATTATAGAAATTATATATTAATAAACTATATGTTAAGACAAATTAAATAAGATCACACATGACTATATTTAGGCTTACACATTGAGAGAATTTGATGAGTCAAAGTGCTTAGATGAACAGTTCCAAGAGTCAAAAGTGGACGAATACTCCGGGACGGAGGGAGTAATACAATTTGATGAAAAGACCAACATTGAGTATAATTGAATTTATTTAGTACTTTAATTTGTATATTTATAATTTAATTAAATTATAGGAAACGGGCCAGTCCGGGTCTACTTGTTTCTAAATACTAGGAACTGGACCAATTTGTTTTGTTAAATGACCCGCCTCAAACCGGCTTGTTTTGAAAGATAAACTTTTTGACCCGACCCTAACTTGCCTCGAACTGTGTGGTTCGGTTCTGACCCGCGGTTCCAGGACTCGTTTGCCCACACTTATCCACAATTAAGACTCTCTCGACCTCAAAATCCGTTGGTAGCCTGTTGTCAGACTTCCCAAATATATGTACCGTTGTCAGACTTGTCGACCGCATATCCACTACTCAACCTTCGTGACGGAGACATCCATGGAGTATATTATTTTTTAGTTTTACTCTTATCATTTATTTTTATCTGTTTGTTTAAAACATTTCTTATATAAAAAGAATTAAATAATTAAATATAAATAGAGAAATAATGGTGATGTGGAAATAGTAAGGGTTCATGTGGGAATGATGAAGATTAAAGTGTTAAGAGTAATGTGTTTTTGGGAAGAATGAGTGTAAAGCTGATGTGGCATGCTGACTAGGCTAGCTTGTGGGAAGAATCGTTGTTAGCGTTGTGGGAAGTCCAACTACTCCTGTAGCAAAAATTTGGAGGGTAAACTTTTTATACTAGTTAGCCCACCGCATTGTAGCCCCACCACAAGAAATTTCAACGTTCGACTTAGACTTACTATACCTGACAAAACAGATTCGGAACCGATTATCCGAATTGAATGATCAGAAACCAAAATCGAAATAATCTGAAAATTGAATATCCGATTTATAACTGAATAACCAAAATGATCTGATCCGAAGAAGATTTATCCATGCTCGATTTAAACCAGAAGCCGATTAGATCCGACCGATTAGATCCAAAATCGATTTGACTCGAAACCAGTTAAATCCAAAACTGGTAAAGCCCAAAACTGGTAAGGTCCGAAACCGGTAAGATCTGAAACCTATAAGACCCGAAACTGATTATATCTGAAACCGATTATACTCAAAATTGATTCTTCCTGACAATAAACATATTATGTTTATGTCCAAAATGAATTATCATATTGAAACAAAATTTAAAATTTCATATGTTTTAAATATATTTTTTATAAATTGGTATAAGAATGATAGTTAAAATTTATACAAACTATAACACGATTCAAATTTTTTTCACCCCCCTCTCATGTAATATTGTGTGGTTGGCCAAACATGTTCTTTGAATTGGATTTAATTTTACTCAAATTTTATCTAATTGCATAGAATGTTACTCATTTTCAAAATATTTACAAAATTGTACGTAACTTGGTAATCCAATTATATTAGAACTAAATATATTTGTCTTTCATAATTCGAAATCCAAGTTTATAAAATATGACTAAAAAGATAAAAATAAAAGATATTTAGAACGAAAGAAGTATAAAATAATATGAGACGATGAATTGATGATAGATTGATAAATGCAATATAACAAAAAATGAATGGACAATTAAATTTTAATTAAAAAATAACACATATGCAAACATATCCGAAACTGAAATATGCCTAAGTTGAAATATATCCGAATCGGAATGTATCTGGCCGAAACCGAAATCGATTTGAATTGATTGACATCTGAATCAATCCGAAACCAAACTGAAACCAATAAATGTATAGAACCGAAATGAATCTGAACCAAAATTAATCCGAACCGAACAGTCTGGAAGAGATCTGAACTGAAACATTCTTAATCGGAACTGATCTGATTGATTCGATTGCCATCTCTAAGAGTTACTGATTAATATACACACCGGTTTCCCCTACGAGTTTGGTCATATCCCAACTAGGACTGAGATTTTTGAGAATGTTGGACTAGTTATACTTACGAAAATGAAGTCCAACTTTCAACCCAGGGGTCCCAGGGGGTCACTCGAAAGTTTTTAAAAGAATCAAGCACATAACTTGCAAAAAAAATGAAGAGAAGAGCAAAAAGGGGTGCAACACGAGGACTTCCCAGGGGGTCACTCGAAAGTTTTTAAAAGAATCAAGCACATAACTTGCAAAAAGAATGAAGAGAAGAGCAAAAAGGGGTGCAACAC